GAAGAAGAAGAAGAAGAAGAAGAAGAAGAAGAAGAAGAAGAAGAAGAAGAAGAGGAAGGAGAGAAGGAAGAAGAGGAGAATGAAGAGAAGGAGGAGGGGAAGATCGGCAGAGTAGGAGGGCTAGCAGGAAGAGGAGGAGGAGAAGGATCTGAAGAGGAGGGAGGAGGAGGAGGTGGATATAGAAGAAGAGAAGGAAAAGGAGGAGAAAGAAGAGAAGAGGGGAGAGATGAGTAGAGTTGGTAGCAAGAAAAGGGGGAGGACATTGTGTATAGCTTATCTGTATGAAGAAGGTGGGGAGGAGGGGAACTGTTGGTAAGGGCTTAGACAGAGGGGAGGGGGGGGTGAAAAGGGAATGTAAGGGGAGAAGGAAGGAGAGGAGTAGGATTTAGAATATGGATAATAAAAGGATGAGAAGGAGAGGAGGAGGATAATGACGAGAAGGAGAAGCTTACGTTGCGAAACATGTTATTACTGTAGGAAAAGGTGATTCGACAGTAGTAACTCTTTGTCAATAATGACGATGAAAATAATCAATGATGAAACTGATAATAATGACGATGAAGATAATTAATGATGAAACTGATAATAATGACGATGAAAATAATAAATGATGAAAATGATAACAATGATGATGAAGATACTTAATGATGAAAATGATAATAATGACGATGATACTGTGTGTTTCAGGTACCTGCCTGACTGAAGAGTGTGTTTCCGCCGGTGAGTATGAAGGCCTCTATGACAATCAATTAATGAAGAAACTAATGACTCCCCACCCCTCCTAAATCCTATATCTTAGTCAACCCCTCCCCCTCCCCTTACACACACACACACACACACACACACACACACACACACACACACACACACACACACACACACAAGTGCAAAGATAATTATGAATTATGCAAAGAGACACGTTTGTTTCAGATTATCTCGAAACGTCCATATCACGATTTGCTACATCTCTTCTTCTTCGTCCTCCTCTTCCCGCACCTCCTCCCCCTCCTTCTTTTCTTCCTCCCGTAGGCCTACCTGCTCTGCCTCTTCCCCCTCCTAGTCCTCCTCATCTTTATCCTTCTCCTTCTCTGTATCCTCCCTCGTACTCCTCCCTAATCCTCTTCCTCTTTTATTTCCTCCCTCTCCTATTTTTCTCAACCCTCCCCTTCTTCCTCCTCTACCTCCTTCTCCTATTCTCTCCTTTTCCTTCATTCCATTTTCGATCAACTCCCCCTCCCTCTCCAGACTTTCCAGTTTGAGTTTGAGATTACATAACGTCTAAATAAATACTGACTTTTGTACTAATCATAACCACGACCGAGCCTGTCTTAGCGGTCACCCCTATATAGCCCTCACCTGTTCTAACGACCACTGTTCCCAGACGACCTTGCGTTTTTTTTTAAAATAATATTTTTAATTTGTTCATAACGGTCCCTTCCCAACGCAGACTCGGTCAGTGGACAAGCCGGTCTCTAAACCTGCTCATAGCGGTCACTTGCTGCAAAAAGTATCCTCCGACCTGTCTTCAGACTGAGTGCGTGAGTTAAATCAATGCAAAGAAGTTCAAATATGTTGTAATATAATGTAGTAATGGTTATAGAGCGCTAAGAGCGTGCTGTAGAGAGTGGATATGCGCTGTATGAATGCAATTATTATAATTATAATCTTTACGAAAAAGAAATGGCGTGGTAAAATTAACGTTTTAGATTTTTTAACCATCTGCTGACTTTGCCAAACTTAGTGACCCAACGAACCCTGTCCATAGCTCTCATCTCTTAACAGCTGGCATTTTTCTCTGCGGTCGTCAGTGGCCTTTATGGGCAAGTTCGACCGTCCATGTAGTTCGGAATGGTGTAACAATTCGTTACCTCAGAATTACAAAGTTCTATCTGGCATTTTTAGCCTTTTTGAGTTGCTGAGACCATGAGATCAAAAACCAAATTAATGTTCCATCTGCGTTGTCAAAATCGTTAGAATATTCGGAGTCGTTATCAAGATAATAATATTATTCAAAGAACTGCATTCGAAAAATCTTGACTTGCAGAGGAACTCAAAATCTTTGACCTCAAATCTCTCAAAACTAGGTACAGAGCAGAAAGAACGTTGAATTCTGAAATAGATGGGAGGTGGTTGGAGAGAGCCACTGGTAGGTCCTACTAATTCTTTACTTTCCCTCTTTTGTTTCTGCCTGTCTGTCTTACTGTTTCCCTGCACTAGATGACCATTATTCTGTCGATGTGCTTATCTTTACTCAAGCAAACAAACAAACAAACAAACAAACAAATTCTGAGGTTGTGACCTGTCAACAACGGGAATTTTTCTTTACGATATTGAGTGGTCGTTATGGACAGGCACGATTGTCCATGTAGTTCGGAATGACGTAACAAACCTGTCAAAAGCAACCGCAGAATTACAAAGCTCTGTCTACTCTATACCTGATTTTGAGAAATTCGACGGCAAAGATTTTAAGTTTCATATCATGTCAAGCTTTTTTCGAACGCAATGCTGTGAATATATCTTGATATGACTCCGGATAATCTTTTTATTATGATAGAGTAGTTAGAGCATTTAGTTTCTGACCTCATTGTCGTAGCAACTCAAAAAAGCCTACAATGTCGTTTTTGTTTCTTTACGATCCGGAGTGGTCGTTACAGACAGGTTTGACCTACATGTAGTTTGGATTGACGTAACTATTAGATAAACACTTACATGTATTACCTGAAGGTGTAGAGAGAGTTCAAAGAGATAACCTTATCGGCCGACCTTGTTGCACTGACTGGCAGTTATAGTGCATTTTCAAGGCTTTCTGATCTGGCCTCTTTTCTTAGACTTCGTCGTCGTCGTCGTCGTCGTCGTCCACCTCCTCCTCCTCCTCTTCCTCCTCCTCCTCTTCCTCCT